TCTCTCTCTCTCTCTCTCTCTCTCTCTCTCTCTCTCTCTCTCTCTCTCTCTCTCTCTCTCTCTCTGTCTCTCTTGACCCTTTTCGCTCCATCTCTTCCGCCTCACTCTCCTTCTAAATAATTTCTCTCTCTCCCACTATCTCCCTCGACTTTGCGCTCGCTCGCTCGCTCTCTGCGTATCAAAGCTGTGACGGCTCTCACACCTGCTAGAACCATTCGACGTTTATTGCGAGAATATTTCCTCGCAAAATTGCCATTTATTTCACCGGTAATTGTTTTAATGACACTCGCATCAGGTGAGCCGCCTCAGACGCCTACAATCATTCTGCCATCGGGTAAAATTAAACTTCGCCGCTTGCCAACTTAGTATATATACGTGATTTTTAAATGACTTGCCGCGCAGGAACCACCACCCATTATCTCCATCAGATGACAATTATTATATTGGATATGCATGGGGGACATGTATGCGGATATTTACCGTATCGGGACAGACCACCATATTGCAATAATTGTCAGTCTCCAATGCGCGCTGAAGTCACACATATTTTATTCTTGCAGCCCTTTAAAATATTAGACTTAAATAAACCTTTGACGTGATATTATTTATTTTTGGAGTTGAACCGTATCTTCGACCATAATACAGACGCATGAGAATAAGACGTTAGCGCGTGCAGAGTGGCAAGCACTTAATGTATTGATTCAAGCTAATTCAGATACATTTTCTACAAGCGAACCATTTCGGGTACATGGGCTCATGATAATAATTCAGAATTTTATTTCAATGATACGTATTATTGTACACACAGCGCATGCACGCGCCGAGTATAGGCACATAATTAAAAAACTCCGAAGATTTCAATGAAGACTGTTTCGGTTCGGATCTCGTTTATCAATGAAACATAAGGTGCGTTCACACGGACGTTTTTGGCCCGAGCCTAATGAGGCCCGCGCCAAATTTGGCTCGAGCCGAGCGTTCACACGGTCGTTTTTGGCCCGAGCCTAATGAGGCCCGCGCCAAATTTGGCTCGAGCCGAGCGTTCACACGGACGGTTTTTCGGGGCCGTGCCGAGTTTGCACGAGCCAATTTGGTCCCATCGAAAACGTCTGACCAGGCCCGAGCCAAATTTTAGCACCAGCTAAATCGGTAGAGCGGTAGATGCCGCGAGTGTCGAACGTGTACTTGAACGAAATAAAGTCCAAAACAGTATTAAAATTCGAAAAATTTGATCAGGATGCATGTTTTAAAGATTGATAATTGAACTCGGAACGGATGTAAACACTGAATCGTACATAACGCCATCTCGCGACAGACAGTATTCGCTTGCGTACGTGTGAACGCTCCGACTCAAACCGGCCCGAGCCAAATTTAGCCTGAGCCAAATTTAGCACATTTAGCTCGAGCCAAACCATTACCGTGAGAACGCGGTACTAATCCCGTGCATTCTTAGATTTTCACTACATGCGTGTATACGTGTATGCTTGGTGTATGATATCTCTGCCGAAGCGCGCACATCAATATATATCAGGAGTGTATAATAGGGATATAATCCCTATTATACACTCCTGATATATATATACGCAGTGAGCATTAATCATCACTGAGCCGTGCCTTCGTCAATTTGCCGTCAGTCGTAAAGCGCTCACGTTGACTTTTTCCCCGGCCAAATGAGTTCGTGGAAGAGGTTGTTCGCCACCACGCTAGTCATGCCTCCGACGACCATAGCTTGCGCCTGAAATGGCAACGAATTCCGACGTTCGAACGACTTTAACAAAGCTTTCGCCGATTGTTAAACCGAGGGGCCGCGCTGGACCGCCCCTCCCCAGCGCTCAGACCCGGATAGCACTCAATCGGGGACGCCCTTCCCCCTTTCTCTCACTCACACACACATACGCACGCACACACACACGCACGCACGCACGCGTATATATATATATACATATATATATAATAATATGTATCGCATTAACACTTACACATATACTAAACACGCAAATCTTGGTAGAATTAATGTGGGGAAAAATCCCGTATGATATTCGTGTGTTTAAATGTGATTATTAGCACGGCGGAGGGCAGAACTTGCCTTTATTCTCAGGTGCATCAGATAAATCGACGTAGGCATGCTGCTGGGCCGAGCCCTATACGAATAAGCGCCAAACGCCACCACCGCGACCAAGCCCGCCAGACCTGTGCACACACAACAAACACATGCTCATGTGTTATACGGCACGATGGATAAAATGAAATTGAGTTGTAGCTTGTCAGTTTTTTTTACCTAAGCAAAACTCGTGTAAATGCGGTCTAGTGATTAAATGCAAAATTACGCCTCAATGCTAAATATTTTTCACAGCAAATACATCTAATACAAATACATAATCTGTAGATTTTCTACTTGCAGAAGTTTAACGTCATTTAAATTAAAATGCTGGAAAGATGCACGTAAAGTCTATTTTTCCCGAGAGTTGCGTGCGGGTATATATATGCGCACATGCGTACGTGCTTGCGAGCGTGAGAGCGTGCGTGCGTACGTGCGTGTGTGATCAAGGCAATCTTCGTATCAGACAGGACACATAGACTCGCATATAAACACTCAATAATTCATATGAATTTGAAATGCTATGTTAATTAAGCCCATGATCACCCGCTGGCACAACAGGGTCTTGTCGGATTTTGCTGACGAATTTGCTCCATGGAGTTTCGTCTTGCCATTCTTCGGCGGATCCTGCTGCCTCTGCTGCGGCTGCTGCTTCGGCGCTTGCTGGCTTTGTTCTTTGTTCCATTTCACTTTGTATGGTCGTCTGTGTGCACAATGAAAGATCATCGAGTCAAATACACAATAAAACGCTCGGCATTAGTCTGTCTGGGACGTCCATAGCTCCCCAGCCCAATAAAAGCAAAATTAGACCAAATTATTTATCTACATTAACAGAACGAAGGAAGATATAATAATCTACATAATCTAATAATCTCTATATAAATAATTCTTTTTGACACCATGAACGTCAATGAAAGGGAATATTAATGAGAAATAAAAGGTAATAAAAATCAGACTGTTCAGTTGTGTATTACTTCTACTGTGCCGCAAATTTCTACCCTGATATTACCAGAGATTCGCTATCGGAGCCTATCCGCTAGCACGTTCATGTCATAAAAAAAATGTTATTATGTATTATGAACCTCTATATAAGAATTCTCTATATAATAATTATTAGAATTTCCGTAGGAGTGAAAAATCCCAGCAACAGTTGTCGTAACTACTCACGGTTGCCTTGCATCTCTGTTTGTCTTTTTATTTGGGATAAAAAAATTCATAAATATGTTAACAGTAGATAATTGGAATTAATAATCAGGTAAAATCAAATCTATTACATAGATGGTTTAGCAATATCTTGTCATGACGTCATCGTTTATACATCGTACATCTTTAGTTCCAAAAAAGACCGTGTGGCGCTGCATTTCAATATGGCGACTCCCATGGTGGCCGGTTGGCTTAAATTTGCCAAGGAAATCGAAGGGATTGTGCTAGATATAGCTGGTGTGTTGTATGACAGTGGGGATGGCGATGGTGTGCCTATTCCTGGTTCAATTGAAGCCGTGAACAGGTGCTACGTTAGTGTAACTTATGACATTATGTAGTAAGTTATTCAGAGACTCCAACCCTACCCTAACTAAGCAATGGCATCACCAAAACTGGAGTTTCTCCAGCCTGGACCCCTTGCCCTTGGCAAACTGGAGACCACACTCTGATCCGCGCGCTCGCCCATTTTGGGTGCGGTCCAGGGGCCCATCTTAGGGAAGCTCCTGTATTTTATAAGGGTTTTTTTAGTATAGAAACAAGCTATTTTTTACACATTTGTTTGATTCAGGTTTGGTTTTGGACTTTGCCTTCTTGAATCTTGTCAATGTTTGCCTGCAGCACCTTCACTTCAGCGGTGCTTCTTTGCCAGCTACACATCAATGCCATGGAAAAAAGCCCCTAGTCGTCGTAATAAAAGTAGTTACTCCATGAGTACAGGTTGGACCCTCGGTAATCTGAGAACGTTGTCTGGTACCTGTGGTGGTCTGGAATGAATTGAAACCGACGGTCTATAGTTTGTGAAGCTGCTGATCGGAATCGCTGACTGTTACCTTGGTTACAAACAAACATAGTTTTGTGATTGCTTATTTCTAGCTATTATTAGCTCATCTGATGAAGTCAGATGCAGCTTGTAGAATCACATGATCGTCCGTGCATCCGTCTGTCCGTCCGTCCGTCAACAGTTAGGCACAAATCTAAACAGCTCGACGTACGGATTCGAAAGTTGGGACGTGGGTGGGGGGGGTAATCCGAGAACGAGTTGGGATGT